AGAGAGAGAGAGAGAGAGAGAGAGAGAGAGAGAGAGATCAGGCAGGTGCAATAAAATGAGAGAGGAGGCTTGAGTCCAAGGCCTACATGAGACTTGAACTGTGTTGGATCAGCTTGAGGCACATAGACCTACAGTCCCCGTCGTTTTATGCAACAACAACAAAAATATTCTGAAATTATGCAAACTGAGCCAAAAAATGTGAAATTATGCGATTCTGTTAATTTTAACAAAGAATGATAAAGGATAATAATAAGAAATTATGCAAAAAACGATCAAATTTGGCTAAATTATGCGGGGTGCATAAAACCACGGGGACAGCACACAAAGCGAAGAAGCTTGGGGAAAACTGTGTGTGTGTCACGTGTGTGCATGTGTGTGTGTGTGTGTGTGTGTGTGACTGAAAGAGAGAGAGAGAGAGAGAGAGAGAGAGAGAGAGAGAGAGAGAGAGAGAGAGAGAGAGAGAGAGAGAGAGAGAGAGACCTGTTTTTATATGTTCTTGTTTGTTTTGGGGTTTTTTAGTTTTTCTTTTTTTGACGGGGTTGTCATGTCTTGCTCGAGGATACACCCCAGTGACCACCCACTTGAACTTCGTGTCACAGACTCTTCCTTGACATTACTTTTGTGTCTGAACTCACTACTCACTTTAACCACTTGGGGCTCTCGTTGTCTAAAAGTTAAGGTGTTCACCTCTCATTCAATAGGTCCCGGATTTGAATCCGGATAGCGACGAAAATTTTCTTCTCTAAAATGTTCTCCTTTCACATCATTCATGCTCTATAACAATGTTCTGTCGTCTGCTTTTGCTTCCATTTTTTGCTCCCACACCCACACCTCCTTTGTCCCCTCCTCTGGGATCCTGACTACTCCTTGACTCCTTCTTACTCTTGTCTTTCAACCACACTCCTGGTCTTATGGTAGGTAAGATCTACACCTTACCTTCTCGTATAATGGCGAAAAATCTCAGAGGTCCTGAGTGCAATTTGCGCTCATTTAAGATCCCTTGGTAGTCCAAAATCGATAAGAGTAGGCTTCGGCCGCCATCCGGGCGAAATTCAAAATTTTCTACCAACTGAATAATATGTTAAACGTGTCCCGCGCGCTCTTATGACCTTATGCAGTTGCGAGCTCTGTGACACACACACACACACACACACACACACACACACACACACACGCACACACACACAACTTGACCACTCCAGCCCCCAGTTGAACCATAATACAAAGGACGTACAATAACTCAGCTAGACTATGGAGCGGCTGACACTGATTCGAAACCTGGGGCATCTTGAACTTGAGTTTGTATTAGACAGTTTCTATATAGGTCTTATTACATTCGATTCGGTGATATCGGAGATGGGCATTAAATTCGGGATCCCGACTCTCAAATGATAATTCATTGCATTTATAGCGCTCTATCCCATACGAGTAATAACTATGAGCGCTTGATAATGATAGATTGCATTTATATAGCGCTCTATCCCATACGAGTAATAACTATGAGCGCTTAATAATGATAGATTGCATTTATATAGCGCCATATCCGATACAAGTATACGCTCTGACCGCTTATTACAGGTAGCAATAGATAAGAATAAAAAGCAGTAGCCTACAGTGTTGAAAGGGGCATTAAATGTCTAAACTGAGAAGTTGGTGGGCACTCTGGTATGGTAAAAACTATCAATCTCATCTCTCCGTATTCTATTCTGCAAGTATTAAATCTTTAGTAAAGTGGGTGCTCACCAAACATCCATCGTCCTTATATCTCCTCCTTCTTTTTGTGTTTGGTACGCTCTTGTAACATCTTTAATCTTGTGTTACGAGTGCAAATAAAACTAAACACTCACAAAAACCAAACTTTGTAATTACATCCCTAATCTTCTGCACAAATGTGACGTATTTTGTTACAAGTGCCGTCAAACTCTAACTAAAACTAAAACTAAACTCTCTTCTTTGTCTCTTTTTGGCGTATTTTGTTACAATTCTAATCTTCGGCACTTATATGACTCACTTTGTTATAATTTTATTATCCGACACTTATTTGACGTTTTTGTTATTAATGCCGTATACCTCTTACTAAAACTAAACTCTCTAATAGCAATTACTCTAATCTCCAGATGATTTATAATGTTACAACTCTAATCTTCGGCACTCATGTTTTGACATATTTTATTAAAACTCTAATCTTCTGCATTTGCATGACGTATTCTGTTATAAGTGCCGTAAAATTCTTACTAAAACTAAAAACATACCAGACCGATATTATACTCTTCTCTCCAGGTGGGCCGCCCCCTGATGCTTCACCCCGCCCCCCAATCTGGCCCGTTCCCGCCAGGTTTTATGTCGTTTGATGACGACCGAGCTCCCACTGACACCGAGAACGAGGGTGGAGACCTTGTATCTCTCTGTTCGTGAGTGGATTATTACTATAGTACGGTCAAAAATTCGTGGCGCGACTTATCCTCAAATATCTCTTTAACGGGTGAATCAGTGTCACTTGACTTTGCACATCGGGTTGTATCAATTTGTCTTAACTTAATCACATTTTTCAACAACAACTGAGGCTCGATTAAAAAACCGTTCTTCATAAATTTATATAAAAGGCTAAAAACTCCTTCACGCGGAAAATGGAATTGTTCACAGCAATTCCCGATTCCCACACATATATTGCATACGTATATGGGTTTCGTCACAGCTCATCAATGACGCTTTTTAGTGGTAAAACTGGTTACAAACAATGATAGTGCATAACAAGATGGGCCACTCAGCCAAAAAAGTGTCCGCAGGAAGTATGCTCTTTGCTTCAGATGGCGCTGCA